TCACTGTCAGGATTGCTAGCTTCTGTGCAGCAGCTATGCCTTGTCGCCCCAAGATGCTGACACAGACTTAGAAAGTTTTAACATATATTTTATCATTCATATCTTAGTATTTGAATGTTTAACACCACTTTAATTACCATATTCAATATTGGGTTTTAAACTCTGTTTTAACATTGCTTCCTGATACCCGGATGTGTGTATAACCTGATGCTTGTATACTTCTGTACTTGTGCTTGTACATGTGTGCGTACTCTGACACTTGCACACCCTGTCACTTGTACCTTTTTTATGCTGGTCATTGACCGTAATAAATGTATATATATATATAACCACAAATAAAGCATTGCTTTTTTTTTAACCTGAGAGAATTCTTTTCTAGAAATGGCCAAATCTGCTGAAAACTGACCATAGAATTGCACTGAAGGATTGTTGTTGTTCATTCGTTCAGTCGTCTCCGACTCTTCGTGACCTCATGGACCAGCCCACGCCAGAGCTCCCTGTCGGCCGTCACCACCCCCAGCTCCTTCAAGGTCAGTCCAGTCACTTCAAGGATGCCATCCATCCATCTTGCCCTTGGTTGGCCCCTCTTCCTTCCTGAAGGATATAATAATAATAATAATAATAATAATAATAATAATAATAATAATAATAATAATAGAAATCTCTGGGGCCCTATCTACGCTGCCATATAATGCAGATTGAAATGTTATATGGGCAGTGTTAACCCATATAACACAGTTAAAACTGACCATATGATGCAGTTTCAAACTGCATTATAAAGTAGTGTAGATGAGGCCCCTGTCTTCCAGCATGACTGGAAGTAATTGACCATAAAGTCACAATGGAGGAACTCGAGATTCTTAGAAAAACAAATCCATGAATTATCAAATTTGCAAATGTGGAAATGATTGTAATGTCAACTGTCATTCAGATTCTATTTGGTGCTATTGCAAAAGTTGTAGCATGGTAGGATCCTTGGCCCTTCTCCTCAGATAACATATAGAATACTATAACAGATCACTATATAAAATATAAAATAACAGCAGAGGAGATGCTCTTTAAAATAGGGATCTAATGGACAACACATTAAACTTTCTATAGAAACTTTCTATAGAAACTTTCTATAGAGCTTTTAAAGATGGCAATCAAATTATATGTCAAACTTCTCCATGCTTAAATTATCCATCTCTTCAATCCTTTTTCATGGGGCTTGGTTTCTAGACCTTTTACCATGAGGTCACGGAGAGTCAGAAGCATCTGAACAAATAAACAACAAATTAAATGTAAATGAAAAGTTCTCATGAGATATGATGAGTCTCCACACATTTTATTACAATTTATGTATGTATCTCTTATACGTGGTTGGTTTAACCTCTGGGTTGTTAGCAGAACTGAATAACTGTGTCACAAAATGATGCATGTCTAAAAAGGTGTGCCACCAACGTGAAATTTTGGAAAGCTCTGCTCTAAAGCTGCAAATGCCGCCAAAACCAGATAAAGTGTACCCAAGGATATCAAACGAACAAATAAATAATTATTTTCAGAGCATTTTTCTACCATCTTTGTAGAACTGAGGCAGACAAATATTTTTAGCATGAAAGCGAGGAGGGAGGAGGATCTGGTGAGCGACACTCATCCAGGTAATTCCAAGACCAGAAAAGACTCCAAAAGAAGTCATTAAATTGTCAAATTGTAAGTGCTTTCTCCTTGCAAACACCTGGCCCTTCCTTCTACTCTGACAATCCTTTTTGGCATTGTCGGTGGTGACCTTACAGAAGAAACAAGAGGCATGTCTTAAGTTGCTCATAAAACGTTCCAGTCCATGGGTGCTCATAAAGCCTTCTTAAGGCGCTTATATGAAATCATAAAAGGACAGGACACCAATCCATAATATCACATTACACATGATCATTATTACATTTGCGCATTTCCTACATGCCTTTTAAAGAGAAATAAAATTGAGACATTTCTGAATTAGGAATTCCCAAACCATGTACTGGGTTAGTGAAAACGCTTGAGCACAGGCTGAAGTTCTTTATATGGTAGCTAATTTTGACTTTTTTTATTGTGTCTGAAGTGAATTGAGAATATAGTTGAAATGTATAAAAAAATACAAATAAAGTTAAAAACTTGGCATTATACTGTATTTTCTTTGACCAGAAGCTGGCCGCTTTTGAGTGCCTCTGATGTTGCTGTAAGGGGTTCCTCCATTGTGCATGTTGCAGGGCTCAGACTGCATTGTAGTAAGTCTGTGGTTTGCTCTTTTCCACACTCACATGTCATGGACTCCACTTTGTGGCCCCATTTCTTAAGGTTGGCTCTGTATCTCGTGGTGCCAGAGCACAGTCTGTTCAGCACCTTCCAAGTAACCCAGTCTTCTACGTGCCCAGGGAGGAATTTCTCATTTGGTATCAGCCACTGATTGAGGCTCCAGGTTTTAGCCTGCCATTTTGGGACTTTCGCTTGCTGAGGTGTTCCTGGGAATATCCCTGTAGATCTTAGGAAGCTATTTCTTCCTGCACCTGCACCTTGAGACACCTGACTTGGCCAATGGTAGTCCACACCTCAGTCACATCCCATTCGGACTACTGCAACACTCTCTTTGTGGGGCTGCCTTTGAAGATAGTTTGGAAGCTTCAGCTGGTCCAGAAATTGGCAGCCAGGTTACTACTTGGAGCATCGTTCAGGGAGAAACCCACTCCCATGCTGTGGCAGCTCAATTGCCTGCTGGTTTTCTTCTGGGCTTTTTTTTTGTGTGTGTGTCAGGAGCGACTTGAGAAACTGCAAGTCACTTCTGGTGTGAGAGAATTGGCCGTTTGCAAGGACATTGCCCAGGGGATGCCTGGATGATTTGATGTTTTTCATCCTTGTGGGAGGCTTCTCTCATGCCCTCGCATGAGGAGCTGGAGCTGATAGAGGGAGCTCATCCGCCTCTCCCCGGATTCGAACCTGCAACCTGACGGTCTTCAGTCCTGCCGGGACAGGGGTTTAACCCACTGCGCCACCGGGGGCTCCACCACCAGGCTAAATAAAAAGTGTTGAGTCTTACTTTTAAAGCCCTAAATGGCTCAGGTCCACACTATTTGACAAACCGCATTTCCCACTAAAGACGAACTTGGACACTGCGGTCACTGGAGGAGACCCTCCTCTCGGCACCTCCTCCATCCCAAGCATGGCTGGTGGGAACAAGAGAAAGGGCCTTTTCGGTGGCTGCCCCCACTTCTGGAACTCCCTTCCTAAGGAGTTAAAGATGCCCCCCTTCCTAACTGCCTTCAAGAAACAGCTGAAGACATATCTTTGCTCACTGGCTTACGGAGGGTGGGGGGGAGAAGTTGGTTATTATCCCCAGCATCATCATCTCCTCTAAGCTTTCCTGTCTTCTCATTATGTGACAAAGTACTTTATCTTTGCCATACTATTTCTAGCACCTCCCTTTTGTTTGATAGTCAAGCAGTGTTTCTTGTAAGTCAGAGCACGGTCCAGAGTAACTCCCAGGTATTTGGTGCGCTGCAATGCTCCAGTGGGATTCCTTCCCAGGTAATCCTCAGAGCTTGGGATGCTTGTCTATTCTTAAGGTGAAAAGCACATGTCTGTGTTTTAGATGGATTAGGGATCAGCTGGTTTTCCCTGTAATAGGCAGCAAGAGGGCCTTACTACCAAACTCACTAGTTTGGTTTATTTATTTATTTATTGTGTCAGGAGCAGACCAAACAGTTGTATTGCATTTTTTAACAAACAAACAAACCACAAAGTTTGCAAGCTTGGTAGTTGATTAAATGTCCTTTGACCAGTATCTGGCCACTTGGAGTGCCTCTGGTGTTGCAGAAGGTCCTCCATTGTGCATGTGACAGGGCTCAGGTTGCATTGCAGCAGGTGGTCTGTAGTTTGCTCTTCTCCACACTCGCATGTCGTGGATTCCACTTTGTAGCCCCATTTCTTAAGGTTGGCTCTGCATCTCGTGGTGCCAGAGCGCAGTCTGTTCAGCGCCTTCCAAGTCGCCCAGTTTTCTGTGTGCCCAGGGGGGAGTCTCTCATTTGGTATCAGCCATTGATTGAGGTTCTGGGTTTGACCTGCCACTTTTGGACTCTCACTTGCTGAGGTGTTCCAGCGAGTGTCTCTGTAGATCTTAGAAAACTATGTCTAGATTTAAGTCATTGACGTGCTGGCTGATATCCAAACAGGGGATGAGCTGGAGATGTCACTGCCTTGGTCCTTTCACTATTAGTTGCTACTTCCCTGCGGATGTCAGGTGGGTGAGGTGAGGTGCCAACATTTGGCAGGAAGATTAAAGACCTTGGAACTCTTCAATTCCATTTTTTTTTGTCATGTCAGGAGCGACCTGAGAAACCGCAAGTCGCTTCTGGTGTGAGAGAATTGGCCATCTGCAAGGACGTTGCCCAGGGGACGCCCAGATGATTTTGATGTTTTATCATCTTTGTGGGAGGCTTCTCTCATGTCCCCGCATGAGGAGCTGGAGCTGATAGAGGGAGCTCATCCGCCTCTCCCTGGATTTGAACCTGTGACCTGTCGGTCTTCAGTCCTGCTGGCACAGGGGTTTAACCCACTGCGCCACCGGGGGCTCCACTGCGCCACCTATATAGGATGACCAGCAGTGCTGTAGAATTTGAAGAGGCATGAATGCAGGGTGAAAGAAAAGAAAGGAGATTCCATCTGAACCATGAGGAAGAACTTCCTGACTGTGAGAGCTGTTCAGCAGTGGAACTCTCTGCCCAGGAGTGTGGTGGAGGCTCCTTCTTTGGAAGCTTTTAAACAGAGGCTGGATGGCCATCTGTCAGGGGTGCTTTGAATGCAATTTTCCTGCTTCTTGGCAGGGGGTTGGACTGGATGGCCCATGAGGTCTCTTCCAACTCTATGATTCTAAGAGCTATAAAGCTTTTGCAGCAAAGCTCTGCTCTCCACCCCTCCACCCTCCTTCCCTTTTTCAGATCAGGGTCCCCCAAGTGCGCAGGCGCACGACGCCTCCAAGCCCCGCCCCCCTGCCTCTCGCGCGCACAGAAGGAGAAAGCGGGCTCTTCGTTTTCTTTTGCCCGAATCCTTGTCACGTGATACTCTCACTCACTCACTCTCTCTTTCTCTCTCCCTATGCGCGCGGGAGGGACGTGCTTACGTCACCGCGCCTCTTCCCATCGCTCCTCGCAGCCGGAAGGAAGTCCTTGGTGCCTAGTGACTGTGCAAAGATGGTAAGCGGAGGGGCTGGAAAGGGGGGGGGGGGAGTCCACATAAATACACCTTTGAGGGGAGGGGGGCTCCAAAGGAGGTGGGTAGGGTGAAGCCCCGATCCAGGGAAATGTGGGCATTCCGCCGGAGATGGTTTCTTTTTCGCCCCGGAGACATGGCCGGTCCTGGTTCGCCTCCAGTGGTTCTCAACCTGGGGTCCCCAGATGTTTTTGGCCTACAATTCCCAGAAATCCCAGCCAGTTTAGCAGCTGTTAGGATTTCTAGAAGTTGAAGGCCAAATACATCTGGGGACCCCAGGTTGAGAACCACTGGGTGGAGCATCCCTTCTTCGAAATGCTCGGGCCCACAAGTGTTTGGGATTTGAGGGTTTTTAAAATGAATTTTGGAAGGTTCTCAAATATAGTCATGAGATATCTCTGAGGTACAGTGAGGTCGCCGTCTAAATGAGAATTTATTTATTTACCACATTTATATACCGCCTTTCTCAGCCCGACGATGACTCCAGGCGGTTTACAGTCGGCAATCAATGCCCCCAACAACATAAAATAGAATTAAAAACATTAACATATAATATAAGCCATATAAAAACAGTAGAGACAATAAAAACAATAACAATAATTAAACAATTAATTTTTTTTTGTCGTGTCAGGAGTGATTCCTGGTGTGAGAGAATTGGCCGTCTGCAAGGACGTTGCCCAGGGGAAGCCTGGACGATTTTTGATGTTTTATCATCCTTGTGGGAGGCTTCTCTCATGTCCCCGCATGAAGAGCTGGAGCTCATAGAGGGAACTCATCCGCCTCTCCCCAAATTCGAACCTGCGACCTGTCGGTCTTCAGTCCTGCCGGCACAGGGGTTTAACCCACTGTGCCACCGGGGGCTCCATAAACAATTAAATAAACAATTAAACAATTAAATTAATTGTTTCAAACAATTAAATGAAACAATTAAACAATAACAAGAATTAATGCATTTCTGACCACACTTTAACTGCCATGGCTCCAAGATATCGAACCATGGGAGTTGTAGTTTTATAAGCTTTCCAGCCTTTTCTGCCAAAAAAAGTACTGGCACCTCAGCAGACTACAAATCCCAGGATTCCATGGCATTGAGCTGTGGCAGTTAAAGTGGTACCAAACTGCATTCATTCCACAGTGTAGGTCAGGCATGGACCAACTTGAGCCCTCCAAGTGTTTTGGACTTCCACAATTCCTAACAATCCCAGGCCCCTTCCTTTCCCCCCTCAGGCCCCATTCTTTTCCTCCTCAGGCCCCATTCTTTTTCTTTTATGATATGCAGGATGGACACAGCATATTATTAGAGAACACAGAAATGCTGGACCACTCCCAACAACCACCATGTCAGACTACACAGAGAAGCCATTGAAACCCACAAGCATGTGGACAATTTCAACAGAAAGGAGGAAACCATGAAAATGAACAAAATCTGGCTACCAGTATTTAAAAAAACTCTAAAATTAGAACAGCACAACAACAGAGAGGAAACAAACAAGGACATCTAATAACCTCTCAACAAAAGATTGCTCCAGGCACTGCCAGCAATCAAATGCTAATCGAGGTGGTCAGTTGAAACATTCACACCTAGCTCCAGCAGACAAGAGTCCTTTGTCTCACCCTGGTCATTCCACAGATATATTAACCCGTTTCCTAGTTCCAACAGACCTCACTACCTCGGAGGATGCTTGCTATAGATGCAGGTGAAACGTCAGGAGAAATGCCTCTAGAACATGGCCATGTATCCCAAAAAAACCTACAACAACCCTATACAGGATGTGCTTTCATTCACTGGATCACTTAAGTGGCTGAGGGGGAAAAGGAAGGGGCCTTAGGCTGTTAGGAATGGTGGGAGTTGAAGTCCAAAACACCTGAAGGGCTCAAGTTGGCCCACGCCTGGTGTAGCAGCACCCTGAGATGGGACACATGTCTAAACGAGACATCTATTTGAAACAAAAGGGAAAATCAATTGCTTCCAATGTAGAGGCTGGGGAAGGAGGAAGGTAAGGTTTCAAATAATAACAATAAACTTTATTTGTATCCTGCCCTATGTCCCTGATGGGGACTTATGGCTGTTCACAACATAGAATGACAGTATTCAAATGCTGTATAATACAACTAATCAATAAACATGACATGACATAAATTAAAAATGACATAGTAAATCTTAACATAAGCAATAAGAAGACATTACCACCTAATTAAACAAAAACTAACAATGTAACTCAACTAATACAAGACAAAAAGTTCTCAAATTGATAAAAATGTTAAAAGACGTTATAAATTTAAAAGGATATAAACCCAAAGGGGCAGTCGTTTCCATGTTCTGAGCTCATTTATAATGCTGAATATTTAATTTGTCCTCCTCATTATGTACTTGTGAACATAGTGATAAAATTAATGGTTTCCCTTGACATTAAGTGTAGTCATGTCTGGCTCTGGGGGGTGGTGCTCATCTCCATTTCTAAGCTGAAGAGCCAGCGTTGTCTGTAGACTCCTCCAAGGTCATGTGGCTGGCATGACTGCTTGAAGCACTGTTACCTTCATGCTGAAGTGTTACTTATTGATCTACTCGTATTTACATGTTTTCGAACTGTTAGATTGACAGAAGCTGGGACTAACAATGTGAGCTCACCCTGCTTCCCAGATTCAAACTGCCGACCTTTCGGTCAGCAAGTTCAGCAGCTCAGCCATTTAACCTCCTGCGCCACTAGATAGTTTTACTACACTTAGCTTGAAGATGACCTTAAACACAACATTTTAAAAATAATTTTGGGCATGAAATGTAGTTTGTGTACATTAAACCATGTGAAAGGTGTCACTTACTATCCCAGATCACCCCTATGGATAATTTCCGATTTTGGATGACCAGATAAGGGATGCTCAAACTGCAGTTCATTCAGCCACAATGCATAGTACACATTTCTGGTCTTTATCTTCCTTCTTCACCAGTCTTTACATTTGCAGAAATTGATTTCCCTTTGTTACAGTTCATACTGTCTTTTGAGCCATGTCATGTGTGAAGTGACACACTCTTGGTGATAAGAGCACATCCTCTGGATATTTCTTTATGATCATATTTCTCATTGAGTAGCACCTTGTCAAAAAACAATCTGTGACTTGGGGGAGTAAGGGTCTGCCTTAACTGCTCCTTGCAATGTCATTGTAGTACTCTTTAAAAAAAAGGTTATGATGTTTTCCTTCCTCTCTACTTATTTGTTTTCTTCTGAAAAATATTATCAATATTCAAAATGTGTGTATATGTATATGTACAGGTGTGTGCGTGCGTATAAATATATATAATTTATATGAGATCTATATACATGTTTTCTGGAAAACTGCCCCAGTAAATTTATTTCATCAGTTTTGAAATGGAGCCCCCGGTGGCGCAGTGGGTTAAAGCTCTGTGCCGGCAGGATTGAAGACCGACAGGTCGCAGGTTCAAATCCGGGGAGAGGCGGATGACCTCCCTCTATCAGCTCCAGTTCCTCATGCAGGGACATGAGAGAAGCCTCCCACAAGGATGATAAAAACATCAAATCATCCGGGCGTCCCCTGGGCAACGTCCTTGCAGACGGCCAATTCTCTCACAACAGGAGCAACTCCTGACACAACAACAACAAAAAAGTATTGAAGCTTATGTAGGCTGGGCTGTAAGAATTTACTACTGTTCTGGTAGTTTGGTGAGTTATCTGTGCCCTTTATAAACATCATAGTGTAAAGAAATGTGGCTGATAAATAGTATTTCATCTGTATTCTAGAAACATGGTTAAGTTTCTCTGCAGTTCTTCTTGACATGGAGATAAGTGATAGAAAAGGCTTCATGGACTTTTCTGAAAAATAGGCTTTTGACAAGTAGCCAATTTCTTTTTAATCATGAACAGCTCTGTGGGTATGTGAGGCGGGCGATATTAGTGAGACAAACTAAACGTGTTCCTCTTGACCATATCAGTACATTATACTGTTTATGTTTACTGAGTTTTTAGCATCAACAAAATACAATAAAAAGTATCAAATGTAGAAAAGAAACATTTACACTATGTAACAAAATTTGAAAAAAAATATGTTCCTCATTTGAAAGCATTATTTTCTGTTTAATTATGTGGTATTTACTTTGAAAGTAGTTGTTATACTCCAGAAACTTAGTTTTTGTGACTGCCACAAACTATGTTGAATTGGTTGAAACTCTAGGTGATATTCATCAAAAAACTATAGCAAAATGTGCTACAGGACTTCTTCTATGTTTTTTATGATAGAACCAATTAGGAAATAACATTTATAACCCAGAAACAAAAATCGTGTTACATAGTGTTATTAATGGAGCATATTGGGCTGGGGAATACATAAAATATAATAATAAAATTATCCATCGATTTAAAAAGCAAGTTATATTATATACAGGAGACTGGCTTGGATTCACACTGGGTATAGTGGCTGGAAAAGGCTGGTAAGATTCTTGCAGAAAAGGGTGCTGGCAGAGAAATGGACTATTTATTTATAAATGGCCTAGTTATTTATATCTGGCAGCTTCACCCTACCTTTAAGAACAGTATAACATGAAACACCCTTGAAGGACTAAAGTAATTTCCTCTGCTCCTGGGCCTGACCTTTCATCTTCTAGTTTCTCGACAGGTCACCATCTACTGACATTCCCAAGCATTCTGCCTAGTTTACTTTGCAAACATCTTGCTTCCACAGGGAAGTAATAGCACCATAGTGTCAGTGTCTCTGTCGGAGGGGTTTCCTGTAGTTCACTCTCTTATTTATTTAAATCTATCCAGATTCAGACCTTGTGCTGTAATAATTCAACTTGTTTTAAATTTATGCACTCCGAATATTTGCAAAATGCAGGAGGGTGTTTGTGTAAAGGAAGTGCCTGGAGATTCTAGCCAGGATTGTATGTGGTGCAAAAACTTATACAGACTGGTAACAGACACAAACAATGCAACTTAAATAAACAAGAAAAGCTGATGGTGGGAAAGGAAATAGAAATGTTGCTTGTACTTGTTGGAATCCTGGCTCCCACTCGTCTCCTGTACGTTGTCCATATTACGTCAGCGCATCTCTACTTATGAATTAGTCTGTTCTATATCCCCTCACCATTTTTGGAATGTGTTCTTAATTTCCATCCGCTGTCTTGCTATTTAGAGTAATCAGGTGCTCTGAGTTCTAAATATGCCTATGGTTTTGATTCCTTTTATGGAGAAGAAAAGTATAGGATGCCTAACTGAAGATAGAGCTGGAAGCTGTATTCTGAATCAGATTCAGTTATTACTTTCAACAGTCCCAGGCTTTCTGTGTACCTTTATCCATCCTATCTAGTTCTTAAGCAAGTCCTAGAAATCACAGGTGAAAACAGGTGTTGAAAAAAAGACTCAATAAGACTGTTTATTTTTCTTTAAAACCTAAGGATTGGAAAATGAAATAATTTGATAACTGTAGACAGTTAGATACTGTCTTCTCCTGGAGAAACTTCTGAAATTCCCTATCCTAGGCTCCAGAAAATGACTCTGGAGAGTTATTTAAAGTCTTTGGTCCAAACCTTTGGGAGCCCATGAGATTGCCCATCATCCTACTGTCATATAGAAACACTATTACACTTCAGGGAGGTTGTAATCCTCAAAAACATTTGTTATTAGTTAGCCATATTTATACTTTTTCAGTTGTCTCTGCCCATCTGCAGGACAGGAGAGGGCAAGCAGTAGAGACACTTGAAAACAGTCGTTGCTGCATTTTAGGATTCTTATGACATATAGGCAGGATCCACATTTTTAAAGCTATTGGCAAGTTGCAAGCTCATTAGTGGAGTTATACCTTGATTTGGATGAGTGGTAGAAAGCTGGCTTTCAGTATGCAGAAATGTGAAGTCTTATTAAACAAGCCTCAAAAAGCTTGAGAAAATTCTTATATTCTGATTAACTGTATGCTTTTGGGGAGGGCAGGCTGTTCATCTTCTGCACCTCAAGTCATTGAAGTCAAAATTGCTTTTAGGCTTCCCTTGTTAGAATTGCAGTTGGAATGTTGGCGCCAGTTCTGTTTTGCTAGCTGAACAAGGTGTATAGCACGAAGAATTAAGCAAATATTTTAATATGTGAAAAATCTCTGAGCCTGTCAGTAAGGCACTTCAGAATAACGCTGGAAGTATGAAATCTGTTACCACAGAACACATTAATCCAGAGGAGCCATCGTTTGAATTTGATGTAATTTATCCAGATCAGCCTAATTTGAGTACTACTAAACTTGGGTGTAATATCTCTTAAGAGAAAGAGGAAGATCACATTGCAGGTGGATAGTCAAAATCAAGGAAGCCATAGCCCCAAGTTTGCAGGATCCAAGCAGGGCTGGTAATGTCAGAATGTCTTGGAGGTCATCTATTCATAGCCACCTTGATGGCAATTAACAACCATACATCTAAAAGATTAAGTAAGATGTTATGGTGAATGTATATGCTTTGTTTTTTTTTCTACTCACCACCCATTTAAGGAAACATTTGAGTAGTATGTTTTCTAATAATGGGTTATTACAAAATTTAAAGATTGGCTATGGTTCTTTGTATGGTTTTGGATTGCATCTCCCACAATCCTTCACAGTTGGCTCTGCTAGCTTGGGCTTATGGGATCTGTAGACAAAAAAGATCTGCAGAGCCACAGTTAGTCATGTTGGACCTGAGACTAAACTACATGTAGCCTAATTTACCTGATTTAATATGTTGGTATGAAAGTGTTCTCAGTGCTTCCTTCCTATCTTTTTTCAGAACACCAGAGGTCTTGGATCTCAGCTAAAGGATACTATTCCAATTGCTGACTTTTCAGCAGGAGAAGCATTTGAAAGCCATGGTGTGATACATAGAGGGTAAGCAATGGAAAACCATTCCAGTATAGATGCACATATTACATAGATGCAGTTTTTGTCTGTTACATATGCTCACTCCTGAAGTGTTCTTTCTATTCTGTTCCATGACTAATATGTGCTCATAATAAAACTTTCCTCAAAACAATTTGTGTAGAGCTAGTTTGGCCAAGATTTACTTAACACTGTTATAGTTCAGCCTGTGATTGTGTCTGGCCTGAGTTTTCAAGTCCTGGCCTTGTTGAAAGGCCCGAGGTTTCTCGGCTTGAAAATGGACTGCTTATCCAATAGATTCTGAAGGTCAAATTCCTGAAAGGGACCCACTGTCTTATGAGAATGATTGGTCAGGTGCAGAAGTTAATGAGATAGAAGGCAAGACTTTTGTAAACTAAGAGCAAGTTCCCAAGCTCCCTGAAGGTCCGCCCATTTATTAAAAAAAGAGGGAAAAGAAGTCCTTATCTGGTTTAAAGGTAGACAGAATGTTTTCTTTTCATTTCATTAGACAGGAAAAGCTTTATATGAGACAGGAAAAGGATTTTAGATGAGTCTGGGCAACAGTTGGAATTTCATGAACGTCTTGTTTCCAAGCAGATTTCTAGTTTTACGTTTCAAATTTTGTCAGGTTCCTGTTCTGTGTATTGGATCTCCATGCTATCTTGTTTTTCTGGATTTTGCATCCTTGGATCTGGTGTTTTTACCTTTGTACCTTGAAGTTAATGGACTATCTATTAACTTTGTATTGTACTGTTTTGGACTATACTGTTTTCACCATTTTTATTGCTTTACTTATATATATTCTTCAATAAACCGCTTGCTGATTTTACTGAACTGGTGTGGTGATTAAGTACAGTGGTGTACTTAATCAACAGATGCAAAGGATGGGAGCAAACTCTGATTTCACCCTCTTAAGATATATGCCAGCCTTTGTTTAGGTGGGCATGATACTGGTAATTGTCGCTCAACTTAGAATAAACAGAAAATGTTGCTTGGGAAGGTTTATCTATACCACTTCCATCTCCCTTCAGCCCTACCCAGAATAGCCCATGGTGGCAACTAATGTCTAGCTACATCTTTAGGACCAAAAAATATTCACCCCTTTATGTTTATTTAAAAAACACGAATTCAAAGTTCAGTAAAGGTGATACTAAAGTCTTAAGATATATCTATGCTAAACATGGTCAGGGATATTGGAAGTCTTTCCCTGTCTATCATTTCTGCATCTGTGACTTTAAAGGGGAAGGAACCCATCTGTTCCATGCGGGCTGGGCACTTCCCTGGTTACAAAATAATACTTTACAAAATACTGTGTTAGAAGGCTGAGACAATCTTTAAAAGTTACACCCACTTATTTTGCCTTGATAAATTAGATGTCACGAAAACTTTAAATATTGACACTTTCCACATAATTATGATCCCTCTGAGTGCTCCCTGCTTCCCTGAAGTAGAAGAGGCAGTTCAGTCTCTTGGACTGGATGGAAAGCTCTTTGCTTTTCTTCCTCCAGCAGCAGATTGCTGCATTTTCTCTGTATCCTACCTCCTGGAGAGAAGCAGCTATGCAAATATCTACACTTCTACACTGTGGGAACAAGTTGAACCTTTTGTGGACTATTTCCCTTCAGCTGGCTCATAGAACCCTTTCTCCCCAAAGTGGCACAATGCAAAGAGAGATTTCAGGAAAATTGGCCACCATAGCTGATTTTTATTTCATAAAAATTTCCAGAGTCCAAGGATAAGAGTGGTGAAACAAATAAGCATGCAAACTGACAAATAGTTGAAAAATAGATCATTGAAACATTAAAACAGCCGAGATTCAGAGAGAAAAAGTGTTTCTCACTGACAAACTTCAGAGATTCCTGGAATATTGTTCAAAAACCATTAGTATGAATTAATCATCAGAATTAGGTGAACTAAGAAATTTGAAGAAAAGCATTTATCTTATTGCAAAAAGAAAAAGCTCTTAATTTTTTTTTTGGCAATATCTTGACTGCGGTTTATGCATCCCCAAGCTGTGGGGAGAAGTAGGTAACAAATTTATTATTATTTTCAGATACTGAAAGGTCTAATTTTTTAATTGCATTCAAAACAGTTTAGGAACTTAGTAGAGGAAACAAGATTTTATGGCAAAATTGTATGTATGTATTATTTCTTTATTTTGATGTTTATAGCTTTGCAAATGTGAAGAATGAACTTTTTCCTTCTCATCCTTTGGAGCTATCAGAGAAAAATGTGAGTAGACCAATTACATGTTATCCTTGAAGACATTGCAGTTGTAGAAGAAATCTTGGTTCAGTGGACCCTCAGTATCAACATGGCTTTGGTTCCAGGACACTGTGCAGATAGTAAAAAAAATTGTGGATGCTGGGGTCACTATAAAAATGCCATAGGGCGGCAGCAGCAGAAATGGCGGCAAGTCGGAGTTGCGAGGCACTCCATCAGGCATGCTTCCTTTGGGCTTCCTTACCTCCAGGAAGTATGAAAGCTGGCCAGTTCTGCCTGCCATCAAGGTAGCAGTTATGGGCACTTCTGCTCATTTGATTGCTAGGCAGAAGTGGATGGTTGGCTGGCTCCCAGGAGGCGGGAAAGAGAAAAATAAATTAGACATGGGAAGGTAGCAGTTATAGCCCTTCTACTCATTCGATTGCTAGGCAGAAGTGGGTGGTTCGCCTGTTCCCAAGAGGCAGGAAAGAGAAAAAGAAAGGAGTTAAGTAACGTTTGGGCTGCTTGATGCTCTTAGTCTAACCACTAGGTGGAGTCAGATGTATTTTTAGCTTACAGAAGAGCAACAAAGCCACATGTTGTAAGGAGTTAAAATAAATGTTTCTAAATTCCAGGAGAGATAATTTGCTATTTCTTTTAGTTTATTTCTTTACAGAAAAAAATATAAATAGAAAAATAAGAAATAATAATAATTTGCATTAAGCTAGTAAAATATGCATTGTAAAATATGTAAAATAGACTGTTAGAAATATTTTTAACAAGGAAAACCTATTCCCAGTTATTTTACAAAATACTCATTTTTAACCATCTTTTTTAGTTTACATTAAGTCAAGAAAAAATGAACTTTTCTACTCTGAGAAATATTCAAGGACTGCATGCACCACTTAAGCTGCAAATGGAATTCAAAGCAGTGAAACAGGTATCCCTTTTCAGCTGTTTTTGTTCATTTTCTCTAGCAGTTTAATTTTGGAAATATCTTGATCAAACAATGATAACTACTTAATACTAGTAGTAAATTCACAGAAAAAGGGGACCCTTGTCTCTACGTAGGAATAATAAAGAACATTGTTAGAAGCAGGTTTGTCATGGACTGAAAAAATCTTACAGTAAGATTGTAAATATGTTTGGGCACCAAACTGAAAATCGTGAGTGAGTGTAACAGTGCTTTTATTTGTGGGGTTCTGCAGGGTGGACAGAGATAATTGTGCAAAGAAAAGCTTTATCACACTAAGTACAGTGGAACACATACTCAAAATATACAGTGAATGTTTATGTAGAATTTGAAAAATTAATGTTAAGCTGCAGTAGCACTCAGTCTTCACTGAATATGATGTAATTAGAAGTTTTTCTTACTGAACCTTTAATTTATCCATATATTAATTAAATATTTTGTTGAATGACAAATTTTCTGACCTTCTGTGGTCTTTTTTAGGCCCAGCGTCTCCCTTTCCTTCATAGCTCTAACCTGTCACTGGATATTTTGAAAGGCAACTATGACTGCATTGGATTTGAGGATATTCTGAATGGTAAGGGTCCTTCCAGAGTTTGGATCATGCAGAATATTGAAAACAGTGGAAATCTCTCTTGATGCTGCTTTACTCATGTTGACTTGGGCTAGCTGTTTTTGTTCAAGTCACTCCAGTATTCTGTCAAATAGTTTACATGCCTCAAAGTATTGAAGTAGCTTTCTCTGAATCCTCTTGCCTACATTATTCTCTGTGTGCAAGCAGCCACAATAGTGATGTGACATTAGGAACAGAGACATTTCTATGATGGCCCTTTGTATGGGAGTCCCCTCCCCCAGGAATGTGTGTTTGGTGTCCCCATTGAATGCAGTTAAATGCCTAGTTACAACCATTCTTTTCTAGTAGACATTTAATCTGTCATTTGTTGTTTTTACTATTAGCGTTATTGCTTTCTTTGTAGCATTTTAGAGATTTAATAGTGAAACCAGCCTTATTATTATTTGATTGTAATGTTGTTGAATATTTGGGGTTTTAATTATTTTAAATTGCCCTGAGAACCATTGCCAATCAGACAGTACATGTAATAAGTAAATCTGGCTTCAGGGATATGGAAGGCACATCTCCACAAACAATTCTGTGTTGTCATGCCACAACACTGATGGGAACAACAGTGCTGTTTGTGGGCTCCTCATGGGCCAAGTATGGGGAAACAAGATGCTGTATTAGACAGGCCAAAGACAGGAGCCTGTCTTGATCTTAGGAGATTGCCCCCTGAGACTAACGAAGTAGGTTAAATTACTTCTACGAATCTAAAGAAATGGTTGGAACTATGCTCTTTAGTTAGCAATTGAGAGAGTAGTGGAATACAGCAAATAGCAAGCCGACAACTATATGTAGTTCATTGTTATTTTAACCATCACATTTGTTCTCTCAAATTCATATTGAATTAGTAAAATAATACTTAACTTCTTTTCTAGATCCAGAACAAAATGAAATAATGGGAGAGCCTCATCTGATGACTGAACGCAAACTTGGTTTATTATAACATACAGTCCAGCATTATGTTCACAAAATATTCTGTTAACTATAGATGTTTCCCTTCAGATTGAAGTAAACCATATTAAGTGGTAGTTCTGCTTGTTTGATAAAACCATTTATCACCTACCTGGATTAAAATGGCACATTAAATGCTTGAAATATATGACATTTGTTCTGTGTTTACTGTCAATATAAATGTCTTGTAATTGGGTATTTAAAATATATCAGGAAATACAGTTTCTATATTCAGGGCTATAGTGTTTCATGTCTGAATATGTAGAGGTCTACACATTAAAATGTCTATAGCACAAGAAATTTTAAATGGTTGTAAGATATTAGACTGGATCTTCTTGTTAAAGAGTCTTTGCAATTGATGACAGATATTTGCTGTTGAATCTTTCTCTGTTCTGGATGACTTCACATGACATCTTTTAAAACAACTAATAAATTTTTCAACAAATGCTGTGACTTTTCCAAATATGTAGTGATCTCTCTGAAGACACCTACTTTAGTTATTGGGCCATTTGGTTTCATTTGGATAATAGAAGGATTTACTCTTCTCAGTCTAGATTTAACACTTGTTCAGATAACTTAGACATTTTGTCTCTTCAGTTTGTGGCAACCAAAAATGCCCCTGCCCAAGTGTGTTTTTGTTGCTCACAAATGGGACATTTCCATCACACATTTGCACAATACACTGTTGGGCTTCCTGTGATTGAACACTGGGATGCTATCTTTCAACCCAGAGATGAGCAGTATCTGACAATAAAGCCTTTCTTCATTGTTGTCTTTAAGTCCTTTGGGATCTCCCATTTTCTGGCAAAAAATGATTAATTGACTCCTGGAGATTAATGATATTGAAACAGATTCCCCACTGCTTAACATTACCAAGACCTTTCCAAGCCATTTTTTTTTTGGGGGGGGGGGGTGCTTTGTATTTTGACAGTCCACCAAAACACCAGTGCCAGAAAACCAGTCTCTTGATTTGTTAGTGAACTTATGATTTTGTTCATTTTCCATGCAAAATATGCAACTGGGATACCAAGCATGGACTATATAAAGTCTAGCTCCTAGTTCTAATGTCAGACTGCTATGTAACCAGAAAGAATGTTCTTTGGGTGACTCAAACCAGGCATTTTAAACTGTAAAATGAAATTTTTGTAGAGAGACTGCTTTGTAATTCCCAAGTTTAGCACAAAGCTTTAATTTTGGGAACACAGTGATACAGCTCCACTCCATATGAGAGCTATGTTTTCTTGCTAGAGCTTGTATATCTGCTGTACATGTTTCACACTTTGCTAGCCAGTTTCATCTTCCAGGAAAAGGAGACACCTCACTTTTGATTACAAGAGGAGGCACATTTAGAGATGCCAATTTCCTACATGACTTCACAGTGCCAGGCAGATTAGCACAAACCCCAAGGGATAGTTCTAAATCTTTAGTAAGGTTCTAGTTAACTTCACACCCTCCTGATTTCCCTATACAATTGCCAGTTTTTCTATCTGAGCTGTAGCTTATAATGATGTAGTGTAGTGCATTAACTCATTTGATCAGTCCTGAAGTGCATCTCTATCATGACCTCCCTAGGTGGTATAAATCAAATCATCCTTCCATCTGCAATCAGGTTAATGTGCTGCCCTGGAACACAGACTTCTGTCAAGGAAAACGGCAAGGTGACATATGGGAAATGCTTTGAACATCTGGAAGTGCTATGTAAATGCTCTTGTATAGTGTGCCTGTTTCACAACAGGGGAGCCTGTTGTCAGGTTTCATGAATTTACAGTTTGTATGATAGGCAGATACAGAACTGTAGCTGTTGATACAAAAGCTCCTGAATATTTTTCTGGCTTTCATATTATGGTGATTATAGTAAAGTACCTCTTGGGTAATTGGTGAAGTCATTACACTGATTGCAGGAGGGCTGCTTTATCATGTGGTGGCAGATAAAAAGACTGAAATCTAACATTACACTGGTTCTAAGGTTGCCAAGTCAGGAATATCCCAGGCTTCGAAATTTCAAAATTTAGAGCTGACACCTTGTGATGTCACAGGAGGTAGGCTGTGATGATCCAAGGGTGGTGTTACAAAGTATACCATTCAAATAAAACACCCAAGTCTAACAATGGAACACACACACTTTAGTGATGACATGGAACATGAGCTGCCCATCCAAAACGTCCATTGTGATGAAGGAACTTATCAGTGAGAAAATATTTTATCATGCATTGGGATGTTGTCTTATACCATAATTTGGATATTTCAATGAATATCAAGTGTTTTCCATATCCTGACAGATGACAACAAAACAGGCAACACATTTTGGAAATGATTACAGAAGGGTAGCTATGTTAATTACACAAGATGAACAAGTATAAGGTTAAATGCTAGAAACCAGTTATGCAACAAGCATTTCTGGATCAGTTGTATTGTGTTGTGAATAATTCTTTCTAGCAAAGTTGCAGAATATTAAAACAATTTTCAGTGACTTTTTTTGAGGCAAATATTGGGGTTATTGTGGCTTATTGGAAAGTTGGACTGGGAGACCTGGCCCCGAATCCCTGCTAAGCCACAGGCATCTACTGGTTACCCTTGAATAAATTACGTTCAGCCTAAGAGGCAGGCAATAGAAAATCTCTGAATAAATCTAGCCAAGAAAATCCTGTGAAGGTAAATAAAAAGAAATTGCCAAAACACCATGCAAGCAAAGATGACACCATTTCCACTACTGAATGTTCACATCATAGACATGAAATGATTCAAGGTTGTAAATATAAACATTTATTCCTGAGAGTAAGTCCAATTGAACTTGAAACAACATACACAAGATTAGCCTATAATCACTGAAATTGTTCACATATTCAGACCAATTCAAATACAGTGCAATTCAGAGACTTATATGTTACAAAGAAAAACTTGTTTTCTTCTTTTAAGCATTAGGAAACCAGTTGTAGTTAGGCTATGGCAGAAAACAGCATATGCCAAGGACTTTAAAATAACCTCAGCTGGTAAAGAAAGGTTAAAATAACTTAATTCTGTGTCAGTGAATTAGTGTCATTATTTTTCCTAGGCAGCTTCTAGTTTGACAAAGGCGCTCTGCCTCATGTATTTACTGCCAAAATATATTACTTCCTTTGCCATACCCATAGAGTAAGGTCAGATTTGGTTGAAGTATAACTCAAGCTAGCATAGACTTACTACTTTGTTGTTGTTTTTTGGGGGGGTGGGGGAGACCTCTCCCAGGTATTTCTGAAGCCAGAGTGTCTGAAGGTTATCTATAGCCTTTGTTCTCCATAAACAGTAGAAATTTTAATTCTGTATGGAGTATTAATTGCATTTTTGTTCTACAAAAGTAAAATAGCCTTATTATGAAAAGTAACATGTCCTTCCACTTACAATTCTATGTGTGGTGGTTATAATTTAGAACCAAAAACGCAGTCACTGTCAGTCCTGGGTTGGGCCAAGGAGACAAAGTCAATTAACTAATGTATATTCAACATCATGGTCACATTTACATATAAAACACTATTATAAAACATTTATGCTCCTTAAGATTGGAAGAACTCTATAATTCAGTCCTAGACATATGTACACATGTAAAAGAATGTTTACCCAGTGAGAGCTAGCCTCATGAAAAGACAGAGAAGGTAACTGGTGCAAAACAGGCACTGCCAGTTAGTTAGCAACAATGTGAAAGACACTTCCTTATGGGAGCTGTAGCATTTGAAGGAACGGCAAAGGGACATACCTCCATCAGGAAATGCAGCTACCTTGATAGACGAGGCAGTAACAGAGAAGTCAAAACAGCAGAAGAACAATGATGGCCATTGCAACAAAACTAGGCAGTGCCCACTGTCCCTCTCCTGTTGTCCTGCTGGTTCCTTTACAGCAGTGTTTCTCAACCTTCCGAATGTCGTGACCCCTTAATACAGTTCCTCATGTTGTGCTGATCCCCAACCATATTATTATTTTCATTGCTACTTCACAACTGTCATTTTGCTACAGTTATGAATCGTAATGTAAATATCTGATATGCAGGATGTATTTTCATTGACTGGACCAAATGCCTGATAAGCTCTAATTTGAATACTAGTGGGGTTGAAGGGGCACTGATTTTGTCACTTGGGAGTGGTAGTTGCTGGGATTTATAGTTCACCTACAATCAAAGAGCATTCTGAACACCAACAATGGAACTGAACCAAACTTGGCAAACAGGACTCCCATGACCAACAGAAAATATTGGAAGGGTTTGCTGGGCACTGACCTTGAGTTCTGGAGTTGTAGTTCACCTACATCCAGAGAGCACTGTGGACACAGTACCCCACGAGCAACAGAAAATACTGAGTTTTCTGATGGTCTTTGATGACCCTCTGACACCCCCTGGTAACCCCCCCCCCCAGGGGTCTTAACCCCCAGGTTGAGAAACACTGCTTTACAGTGACCTCCTCTTTAGTGGCATTGCTATAATGGCAAATAAGATTTGCCTTTGTCGATATATAGCCTTCCTTTTGGAGAAAGAAAACCCTATTCTATTAAAACTATATCAATTAAACACTCCCTCAAACATTTCGTTTGTAAACAAAAATACACAGTTTGCATAGTTCAAAGTTACATTAATTATTATACTTATTTATTCATTAAAAACATAAGAAGTGCTAGAAGAACAATCAATTGTAAAGTGCTGTTCAAATGATCAACTATAAGTGCCAGATATATTAAATGTGTTGCTTTTGGGGGGGGGGGGGGGGAAGGCCCAGGCTGGCAGTAGTCAAAAAGGTTAACATTTCTAAGCTTTGAAAATGCTACAGATTCATCATCTTACCTGCATATCAGCCTGACTATCCTTAGAGAATGATTTAAGAAACAGCTGAACAATATAAATTGCATCAGCATTGCATAGACTTATTATCAAGTGCTAATAAAACATGAGGTCAGATGTGGTATCTGCCTGTCCTTCGGCCAAAACAGGATTAGATTTGCTCATCATTATTCTGACAAAACACACCCAAACACACACACACTTTTTCTCTCCCCCCTTAAGCATTCCTATCACTATAACTGCTGAGACAAGCTTGGAGATAATGGCCACGCAAAAATCAAAGGGAACTTTTATATCATTTCCAGAGGTGAGTAAAGGGAGACATGATAGAAAATTATGCATAGAATAATGTATAAAATTGTGCATAATGTACAAAAATATGCTCAGTGCTGAGAAAACTGGATAAGGGGGAGCTTTTCTTTTCCTTTTATAATACCTGAGATGAAGTTATTCTCTAAAACAGAGTGATGGGTAATCAAGGACTGATAAAGGGAGATACTTTTCACACAGCATTTATATAAATTGTGGAATTTGCAGCCGCAAGCTGTAGTGATAATTGTCATCTTGGATTATTTTAAGAGGGCACTGGATTAATTAATTAAAGTACTGGAATATTAGTGAGAAAGCATTCCCTAGGAATCTCTGGGTCATTCAATACTACTGAAGCCGTGGTGACACGATGGGTTAAAGCCTTTTGCCAGCTGGACTGCTAACCTGAAGGTTGGGTTGTTGACCTGAAGGTTGTTGGTTCAAATCTATGAGACGGGGTGAGCTCCCATCTGTTGGTTTTAACTTGCAGGGACATGAGAGAAGCCTCCCAGCAGGATGGTAACGCATCTGGGTAACCCCTCTGTAGACGGCTAATTCTCCCATACCAGAAGCGACTTGCAGTATGTTCTGAAGTCACTGCAGACACATTTTTTTTTAAAAAAGCCACTACTCTATGATCAACTTCTAAGTTAAACTTGAGGGCCAGTTGTATTTTCTGTTACCCTCCCATAATGACCATGTTCTCTCCCTCCACCATTCACCACTGGTCTGCTATAGCTCCCCTCCTATATTTCCATTGCTGATACAGAGCAAGCAGAGAAGCACCTATGCTCTCAGATGGCCTCAGCAGATCTCTGTGAAAGATGTCTCAATTTATCTTACTGCCAGATGCATCTCTGATCCCATCCCTTGCTGGAGCCATAAGCAGGGTTCTGCATGCAGAGCTCTTCCACTATACTCAGCCTGAGGCTGGTAAATATAGTAGAAAGCAGGGAAGGTTCAAATAAATGAAGAAATGGAGGCAAGGAGTGGGTGGATATTTACAAATTATATTAAGAAACAAAACCAGTGCATTTCAAGTATTCTGATGTTTCAATGATCAGTATCATATTTCTGATCATTGGCTACAACATGCTAGGGACATAGACCACCAGTCCATGGGCCGCCAGCCTAAACAATGAAATCATGGAAATGTACACAAACTTCATGTACAATCCTGAAATTGCCCTAAGAAATTTGAACAGAGATAGGCTGGGGGGGGGGGGGGGGGGGGGGAGTTGAAAGAACATCAGCTATGTAACTGTAAGTATATTTGTTTTGCAAAGCAGTAGAAAGATATTTCATCTTACAAAATCTGTAATACTGACTTATACAATATATTTAGTATGGAATTATTGCAAAAGTATCTTTGACTGCGGTTTTGCAAACTAATCTTGCCAATTAAACAAAATATGACCAGGTAAGAATTCTTTGGGGCTTAAATCTCAGAATCTGGCCATAATGAATGAGAAAATTTAAAAATTCTAGTTTGCCAAAGTTAACTTTTTTAAGTTCTGGTCCAGATGCCGAGTCAATCGCCTGAGGTAGGGGGTGGGCAGAGAGGAACTTTAAAAAGGAGGCTGAATTAAGATGAGCCCAATTACAGCTTTTGTGTCTAGCAATAAATATACCCAAAAGGTTGGTTTATAGGGCCATTCTATACTAAAATTATTGTGAAAATCCACATTCTAACATTGAAAAATCCCATTCTAAAGTGGCAATCATTTCAAACAAACACAAACACTTGAAAAAATACTCCTTGTTTTACACACATATATATAAAAATCTATTTTTCTTTTTTTTTAAGTGCACGTGGGGCATACCAATGAATTTCCAGTTAATACACAGGTTCCCATTACCCTGATTTCAACAGGAAGACCTAAAATCACCATTTCTTTTATGAAACAAGGCAAAAAATAATATTATTTAATTTTCTTTCAGATGTGTTATTTCTCCCTGTGCAGTCTACTGCCTTTTCAACCATTTGTATGTCATTAGGTATATTACAATATATCTGTGTGTGCAGATTATGTGATCCTCATGAAGACACCAGAGATCCAATTCTAAGCCTGTCACCATTGCCACGAACACTGGACACTTCCTATTCCCTTTGGCAAAGCATAAAAAGTAAGGTTTTGTGGTCTTACTCTTCCTTTAAATTGTAGTCTATATTCAGGGCATCTAAACTGCCCCAAACACAGGTAAACTGATCTTTATAGAGATCTAGCAATTGAGACATCATATTGCACTTTACCTGGGGCACTACAATCAAGAGGTTAAGCTATTCTACAAGAACATGAGATGACCAGTTTTAAAATGCATTCTCTACTCAGCTGACAGCATTCTCATCAAGAGAGTCTTCTTCATTTATAAGGATCACTAAGTTCTCTTCACGCCAACTAGTAAACATAAGACAGCTGGAAGAAAGAGATAAGATGTTTAAGTGGAAACTGAGAGTACACATTATACTTAGTCAACTGAAAACATATAGAAACCAAACATTTCTTATATTCCACAATGAAAGGCTGAGTATTGTTGAAGGCTTTCATGGCCGGAATCACTGTGTTGTTGTGAGTTTTCCAGGCTATATGCCCATGTTCCAGAAGGATTATCACCTGAAATTTTTGAGAACACAAAAATGCTGGACTACTTCAACAACTACCATGTCAGAGTACACAGAGAAGTCATTGAAATCCACAAGCATGTGGACAATTTCAACATAAAGGAAGAAACCATGAAAACGAACAAAATCCGGCTAACAGTATTGAAAAAACCCTAAAATCTTAACAGTAAATAAAGACAAACACTCAAAAACAGGGAAATTGCAGACAAGAAACCATCCAAGCCAGATAATCCCCTCCCAACAAAGGATTTCCCCAGGCAATAAGAAGCAATAAGAAGCCAGACCTTGAAACTTCAAGGCCATTAAATGCTAATCAAGGTGGCCAGTTGAAACATTCATAACTACCTTGAACAGAAAAGAATTCTTTCTACCACCCTGGACATTCCACAGATATATAAACCCCATTTTCCTAGTTTCTAACAGACTTCACAATCTTTGAGGATGCCTGCCATAGATGCAGGCAAAATGTAAGGAGAGAATGCTTCTGGAGCATGGCCATACAGCCCGGAAAACTCACAACAACCTGAAGGCAACACAATTTGGAACTCACCAGATGCAAAACAGCAACTTTATTTAGATTGAAAAATATACCGCATTTCTATCCCAAAAAAAGTTTTCAAACTGACAAAAATAAAACTAGAATATTTTGTATAATTGAGTAGTCCTAAGTGTGCTACCCAAACACATGAGACACATAAGACTTGACCACTTAATCACAGTGAAAACAACAATTTTGGCTGCCAAAAAGGGGGTTGTCAACGCTAGGCAAACTTTTTTGGAGGCCAAATGAATATTCCAGACTAAGGGTTCTTTCTTATTAGAAGAACTTCCTCTGATAAGAATAATGCTTAAAGAAGTTGACAACAATCAAATATATTCAACTATTTAGGCTCCAAGTTACTCATGGTTTTGTGGGTAAGATGAAAATTATAATTCTTTATCTGGACTATGTAAACAAAACCTTCTTATACAGACTAGGGGAGGGAACCCGGAAAAACACGTGGAAACTGAAGAATAAAAGGTAATTCAGGGTTAAGATGAAAACAAACATTTAAATAGTCATAGCAGGGTTTTCCCCAGTGAGATGATTTCACTTCATCGTAAGTCACATACAGCTGGTCCTTCATATCAATGGATTCTGCATCCATGGATGTCACCATCGATGGAGTGAAAGTATTCAAAAATAATAATTCCAAAAAACAAACCTTAATTTTGCCATTTTACAAAGAGACATCATTTTACTATGGTGTTATACATAATAAGACTTGAGCATATACAGATTTTGATATCCACTGGGGGTCCAGTAACTAACCCCTACCGAATAACACTGCATATGCTTGGGGAAAAAATCTAGTCTTGCTGTCAATTATGTATGTTATAATTTGGCCATATCTGTGGAGATATAAGAGTCAAGATTAATAAAACTTGTAGTCTTCTAGATGTTGTTGGTATACAAATTCAAACATTCATTACATTGGGACCTGCAGCCTAGTTACACCTGAGCAGTATGGCATAGCAACATCTATTATGTCTACTAGAGAAACACTCTGTACTTACCTCAGCATGCCAAGTGGAACTATACAAAAAGCACCTGAAAAGAGGAAACTGAAGCCTGGAAACCAAGCTACAGTTTTTGCATAGATAGTATTAAAAACAACACCTGCAGTTATCCCAGTCACAATCTCCAAGCAGGCAATGCAAGCAAAGATGGCTCCTGTCAAAAAAAAAACCAAAACAGATGCAGATGGTCACAACATCCTTATACTTCAAACTTAGGCCCAATCTACACTGCCATATAAAATCCAGATTATCTGCTTTGAACTGGATTTTATATGGCAGTGTGAACTCATATAATCCAGTTCAAAGCAAATAATGTGTATTATCTGATTTCATAATCTGGATTATATGGCATGTAGATCCAGCCTTAGACATAGCTATGTATGCTTGTGTTGCTATATGACTAAGGGCCCTTCCGGACAGGTCCTATATCCCAGGATCTGATCCCAGGTTTTCTTATTTAAATTGGATTATGATTCTGCACTGCCAGATAATCTGGAATACAAGAAAAACCTGGAATCAGATCCTGGCCTGTCTGGAAGGGCTCCAGGTTAACACTGGCCTCAGTCTAATTTCTAGTCCTCATTAGAGTCAAAGCCCTGAATCATTTACTTAGTAGTGTCAACACTTATATAAATTCCTCTGACTCAATAGGTCTATCCTACTTAAGACTAGATAAAGGTAAAGGTAGTCCCCTGACATTAAGTCCAGTCATGTCTGACTCTGGGGTGTGGTGCTCATCTCCATTTCTAAGCCGAAGAGCCAACGTTGTCCGTAGACACCTCCAAGGTCATGTGGCCAGCATGACTGCATGGAGCGCCGTTACCTTCCCGCCGGAGCGGTACCTATTGATCTACTCATATTTGCATGTTTTCGAACTGCTAGGTTGGCAGAAGCTAGGGCTGACAGCGGAAGCTCACACCGCTCCCCGGAATCGAACCTGCGACCTTTCGATCAACAAGCTCAGCAGCTCAGTGCTTTAACCCACTGCGCCACCATTAGATTTATACTTCCTGACTGTGAGAGCCATTCAGCAGTGGAACACTCTGCCCCAGAATGTGGTGGAGGCTCCTTCTTTGGAAGCTTTTAAACAGAGGCTGGATGGCCATCTGTCAGGGGTGCTTTGAATGCAATGTTCTTGCTTCTTTGCAGGGGGTTGGCCTGGATGGCCCATGAGGTCTCTTCCAACTCTATGATTCTATGATTCTATGTCAACATAGCATGGTTTTTGTAACCCATACATCTCATCCAAAGCCAGTTTAACAATCCTTATAATTTAACTACTATATGAAAGGATTACTATTGCTCAAAGTAGTTAATAAATAAAAATGTCCCAGATACCCATGTCCCAAAGCCCTCTCCTCACCTTGGAGAAAGATTTAGGTGATCTCAATATGCTACTATTAAATCACTGGAAGAGCTAGTATGGTATAGTCCAGTGGTTCTCAACCTGTGGGTCCTCGGGTTTTTTGGCCCACAACTCCCAGAAATCCCAGCCAGTTTACCAGGCCAAAACATCTGGGGATCCCCAGATTGAGAACCACTGGCATAGTGGGGCTTGATAGTCTCCATGGAGTACTAAAACTCAACTTGGGCAGATCAGCCTCTCCACCTGACCTACTCATAGAGCTGAATGTAAGCATGGTGTAGAAATAGCTAGTTACAATTAGTCAGAGGTAGTTAATCCCTTTCTGCAATAACTAAACATAACTATTGCAAATGTATTTCACTGTATTTGCTGTAACTATTTCCAACTACTTTTATAGTTACAGGACTGTGTGATCTCACAGCTTAGGTGTGTCTTAAAACATAGGCAGTAGTTTGTACCAATCTGATAGGTTGTTAAGAAGTAACTAACAGTAAAAGAATTACTTTTAAAGCAACTGATAGCTTACAGTCCCTCTCTTCTCTACAAACAGTTTAATCAAATCCTTGAGTAGTCATTAAAGTTGCTTAGGGTATAGACTGTTCTAAGTCTGTAGGTTAGAACCAGTATGGTGTACTGGTTTGAGTGTTGAGTAGGACACTGGGACTCCATGGTTTGAATCTCTGTTCATCCATGGAAACCTACTGGGTGACTTTGGGCAGGTCATATTATCTCAGTCACAGAGAAAGCAATGATAACCTCTTCAAAAGAAATTCTGCCAAGGAAACCCTATGATAGTTCACCTGAGGATCATGATATGATAGAAATGACTTGAAAACATACAACTAAATTTGAAGGTTACACAGGGAGAAATAACTATATGAAAACTATCCTGACCACAATATCACCCTAATGGCTAGATTTTGTGCACCAAATAATGCTGGTGAAATGTCATGGACGTTGCTTGAGCATCTGAATGGAACTATGAGAACAGAATTACAAGCGGAAAGTGATGAGTGAAGTAGGTCCTATTATGGGGAAACTACCATTAATTTGACAATATCTTTTTGTCATTTCATGAGGAGAGAGGAATAAATTTGAAAAATCTACCAGAAATCATACAGCCATAAGGAACCACAGTTGTCATGCATGAATGCACAAGTAAAGCTAAATACTGACCATCCTGGTGCTTAAAGACTTCCAAAAAGGAGAAAGTAGCCTGATTGGATTGACGAAGGGTCTTAGGTTAACACTGGCCTCAGTCTAATTTCTAGTCTTCACTAGAGTCAAAGCCCTGAATCAATTACTTAGTATTTTCTTGAAATCTAAATGCAAGAACCACTACCACTTCTGTGGCGACATGAACTCACCTTGCTCTTGAGGAAGAACTATTTTGGACAACATGGCCCGAAGCATTGGAATAGGTACAAAAAGTAGCACTGCCGGCACTCTCACTGTAAAATATTTGAAAAAAATGAAGATATTGGTAGATTACAGCTTTATTTATAAACAGCCAAGATACGGTAATAAAACGGAACTCCTTTCAGAAGCTCAGCCCCTTATGTATCCAGTGAATGAATAAGACAAAATGCTGCCTGTCTGCCTTAGTATGCATTGCCAGCAGTTCTTTTAGTCACAATTCCTAGGCAGCCACATCTTCAACATAATTCAAATGGGGCCCGTGAGGTAAGAAGTAGTGTAGTGTAGTGTTTAGTAGTACATGATTGCATCTGGTTCAGAGGCCAGTTTTCTGCCCTGCATAAAATGTCAAAAATGCAGGGAGAGGGGGAACCTAAAGTTGAAAATCAACTGGTAAAATTTCACATCTTAGAAAATAAGCTTTTCTAAAGTGTGAAATTGTACGAAGATTCCCTGAGCCCTGGGGGGTTGATTGCAGGGGGGAAATCTATGTTTTACTCTACTTTTTTGGCTGGCTTTTTTTGGGGGGGGGGAGGGGAGGGGAAGCCATGTGAACAGTTTGGAGGGACAATCAAAAGACACAGAAAAATATGGCCCAAGGGCCATACTTTGACCACCCCTAGTTAAAGTATTGGGTGGGTATACGGAAAATTTAGACCTATTTAAAATGTTGTTGATAAGCATGTGGCTGCCTGGGACAAAGATGGAATCTTTCATATTGCAACCCCCAGCATTTCTCATCATGGGCTATGCCAGTGGTTCTCAACCTGTGGGTCCCCAGATGTTTTGGCCTTCAACTCCCAGGAATCCTAACAGCTGGTAAACTGGTTGGGATTTCTGGGAGTTGCAGGTCAAAACACCTGGGGACCCACAGGTTGAGAACCACTGGGATATGCAGTCTGCAGCTGCTGGGGTTTGCTGGCCAATATGTACCTTTAAAAAAGCACACATTTATTTGGATATACTTTGAAACTTAATGTAATCGTTTCTACCTAATGTCAGAAAACTGAAAATGAAACTAAAATATAGACAGCCACTTTCATTATCTATCTTGCAAATCATTAAGTGTATATGTATGTGTACATATAGAAAATGTTTAAAATTCTGGTTAATGTGAATTTCTTTGTTTTAAGGTACAGAACTGGGACTATCAGTGGGCAATCATCTATTTTAAAAATTATCCCCACCAGCATTTTCACAAACTTTCTGAAATTTCTGAACTTTTTGTATTTGGGCGTTCCTGATCCACACCAGCTCAATGATCACATTTGACCACATAACCAACCCATACCATTTTGTGAACCCCTTGCTGGCTGTTGTACACTAATGTGGGTGTTTTGTTTATATTTATGTTATTAAATTTATTGATGTCAGGTTTGATTTACTGTTGTTAGATCGTAATTTGATGTTAAGCTTCAATGTTATTTTTATATGTGGGGTTTTTCTGTAATTCTATGTTAGTATTATGTGTTTTATGTAGACATTGAATGTTTGCCATTGTTATGCTGGAATCTGCCCTGTATCCCCTTGGGGAGATAGGGTGGAATACAAATAAAGTATTATTATTATTATTATTATTATTATTATTATTATTATTATTATTATTATTTCTCTTAGCCCAGTACTGAACTTACCTAAAAACATCAACAATGTTGTTGTAGCAAAAGCAGCCATGGTTGCTCCAATGATGTATGAAAAGATTCCCATGTAAACCATGTAAATATCTTTCAGGAATCGTGCAAGTAAAAATAATGCTATGAAACCAGCCACAGAGGCACAGGTGGAGACTGCTGAGCCATATCCGATGTAGACTGCATTCCAGCAGAGTGGAGAATTCAGTTCATAGAGTGTATAAAGAGAAGTTCCTCCAAACATTGTGAACAAGTAAGTCATGAATGTACCAAGCAATAGTATGATGGAAGTTCGCTTCCTGCAGGAAGAAGATTTACAGAGTATGTATACTCCAGAAAAGGTTTCTTTAAGGCCTTCTTTCAGCGACTGTGGCCGGAACTCTGACACTTGTATTGTATCGCCCAAGCAACATGAAACATAGAAAATGTTAATAATCTGAAGAATAGAAATTACTGCAAAGGTCCAAGTAAAGCCAATTCCCTTTATAATATAGCCTGAGGTCAATCCTCCCAATCCAGACGCAAGTCCAAAGATTAAGTCAACCATAGCTATTCGAATGATCTTCTGCTTTTGAGTCTCACAAAGGTCAACTACATAGGCAAATGCACCTCCAAGAAAAGTTGCCATACTTCCACACAATCCATCAACGAAGACCAATGGAAACAGTAGAACAAGAGGCAGAGAGAAATAGGACATCATGCTGTAGAAGATGTTGTAAATGAGACTCCCCAACAGAGGTAGCACCAAGGATATTTTGCGTCCACAGCGTTCCCCGTTGGATACAAGGATAAAGGCCATCACAATGCTAGGAATAGCCCCACTTAACCCCACCTTCATGGTCAAAAGAGCAGCCTTTTCCTGGACTTCCTGAAATAAGAAAATAAACATATCTAGGGGAGGCAGAATAAAGAACTGGATTTAGTTCTAGATAGCTCATTCCCTCTCTACCATTTTCCCTTTATGCTTGGCTTCTAGACATGAAAATAGCATGCAAAGGTAAGTCAGCAAATTCTAAAGAGACAGTTTTGTTAGTCACTGGAATTCAAAAAAGGGCCCGGTCCCATATTACAGATTTAACAACTTTATTGTAAAATACACAGTGATTGGCTGGTACTCAATTCTATGGAAGGCCAATTAGCAGCATATCTATATATCTATGTTTGCATTCAGGCACAAAGGGTACATCAACAATGTAGATAGTTTGACACCACTTTAACTGCCATAGGTAAATGGTATGGAATCATGAGAGTTGTACTTTTACAGGGACTTTAGCCTTTTCTTCTTAGCTTCCTCATCAAACTACAACTCCCAGGATTCCACAGCACTGAGCAGTGGTAGTTAAAGTGGTGTCAAACTGCATTCATTTTACAGTTCATATGTACCCTGAGAAACATTAAACTAAACCACAGGACCAAAAGGCCATGAAACTCAGTCAGATTAGCACAGAAACTCTGGCATTGAAATTCTGGCAAGACTATACAACTTGCAAGCTTTCTGACATCCTCATGTACATTTTTTGCTATGTCTGTTTGCATGCATAAAACTGTATGTTGAGAGAGAAAGAGATATACCATACCAGATGCTGCACAATCTGGACACAATACAAGATGCTGTAGGCTACATTTCGGAGGAAGGAACTGGTAAAATAACAATGATAATAATAATAATAATAACAACAACAATAACAATAACAACAACAACTTTTTATTTATAGGCTGCTCTATCTCCCCGAGGGGACTCGGGGCTGCTTACAACAAAATAAAACACAGTGGCAAGCATTCAATGCCAAGGATAACATATAATAACTCAAAAAAGTGGCTTATATAAACAAGACATAACACATCCCACACATTTAACATATTAAATCCTTAAAACCTTTTAAAAATTTGACTAAAATTACTGGGGATGGTATATCACAGATTAACCAAGGTAATACTTTTGAGTATTCCTTACCTTTTGAAAACAATGGTGGGTCACTATAACCTGATCAGTGACTTGAAAATATGCATGCAAGCAGACGTGCTTTGGTGGGAAACAGCATATTTCCAATAAATAGGTATGTAGAATTCCATGTATTTGGAAGTAAGCTCCATAGAATTAAATAGGACTTATTTCTGAGGAGATACTACATTCTCACTTAGTCTGGATTGCACCGGATGAGCAATTTGATTTTACCTTTTGTACCAAGTAGGTTGGATCACTTTGATTCACTCCACAATGGGAAATGTTGTCATCATCTATGAAGGTAGAGTTGGTGGTCTCTTCCCAGATTCTCCTGTACAAATATTGCTGTACCAAGGGTGTGTTCAGAGAATATGAAAGCATGTAGATAGCAATAACAGGCTCCACTACCAATATTTTCTTCATGGTTGAACGTCTCAAGTTGGAATTCTGATTAAAGGGGAAAAAGATGTGTTAGTTCCCTCAAAGAAAGTTCCATTCTATCAGAAGGCATCTGAAATGTGACGAAAATCCTCAATAGCTAAGCACAATGTCAGGGTTCTATATACAAAGGAACTTTGCTATGGCTCCTTTGTCCACCTCATGCCCCCCTCCAACTATTCTATTACAAGTGGAGAGCAGATGGGTTCTGACCTTTATGCCAGAGGCAGACTGATGATTCACTGGAGACTTCCAGAAGGAGAATTGCCAGAAGAAATAAGGGATGGTGCTAGCATGGCCAGTAACACTGCTGAAATGCCAGCTTCTACAAAACCCTTAAACAGACAGGAGCCCTATCACTTATTTCACCTATCTGGAAGTTTCAGTGGACATCATTAGTCTGCATCTGACTACAGGAACACAGCCAGGCATTTCTCCAATCTCCTTGCATTCTATCAACAACAGAATAGCCATGGGCGTGGTGGTGAGAGGGCTATTGTAGCACAACAGTCAGCCTGAGAGGGGGCTTTGCAGGGTGCAGAAGTAATACCAGGCTCAACAACAACAGCAGCAGCAGCAACACTTTATTTATATACCACTCTATCTCCCCAAGGGGACCCAGAACAGTTTCCAAGTAACATAATCAATACATACAAAGAAAACAGCATAAACATAAAATTAACAAGACAATATAAGCATTAAAAACCACAATAGCACATATATTTAAAATAATCCTGCCACAACAACACAAATACATAAAGAAGCAGAAGTTGGCTTTGTGTATATTGTTAACAGGATGGTAGCCAATAAATATAACCAGAAATTCTGGGTTACACTTCATGAATGTCATATGAATCACAAAAGCGTATAATTTAATGATTTTGTTTCTTTCAAGTGTCTCCAGATACTTTGTTGTTATTGCCACAGCAGATGAAAGTTGCTACTCCTTTGCAAAACACATACTTGAATTCCCACGACAGACCAATCAGCCAGAGGTAAAAAAAACAATGAAGTCTGGGATTGTTGTGTATACTATAACTAGAAAGGGTGATTACTGGCATTCCTTGATTGATGACAGATTATTTGTTTTGATCCATGTTTAATTTGCTTAATTTGTTCTGATCCTTGTCCACTGCTTAATTTGAGATGTTAACATGAATTTAATGGCCATGTCTGCAAAATAATTTATACTGGATTATTTTATCTAATGTATTGATTTCAGTTTTGATTTCTATTTCTGCATTTCTAGATGTGTAACAAAACTATGAAAAGCTTGCAATAATGAGCAATAATTTAGTACAGGCAGCTACATACATTTTTTTGTCTATATAAGCATGCATGCAAATGCTTTGAAAACTGGTGCAGTGAGGAAAAGTACTGGAATGGAACTGGGGAAATTGAGAGTGAAACTCTACTGAATCATGGATCTTAGTAGGTAACACTAACCCACTATACTAGTTGACAGGTGAAATACTGCACTTTTGCAAATGTAACGTTCTCAGAAGAATACAGAAGAAATGTATAGCATTGAATGATGCTACTACACACAGCATGTCAATGGCAAAATAATGTTTAATGAATTTGTAATACAGTTCTAGGTTAGTAGCTAACAACTGCATACAAACAGTAATGCAAGGTAACGAAACCAGGGCTTAATTTGTATATGTTCCTGGCAATAGGTTCATCCTATGTTTTGACTGCCAGGCAAGTGGGAAGTGAGAAGTGCCTTGAGCAAATGCAGTTTCTTGCACCAATTTTGTGATGTGCTTCATCCTGCAAGCCCAAACGAGTCCTGATTGCATGTTAAAGTGGAAGGTACCAGCCATTTTAACTTGTGGAATTGTGACAGATGCTGTCCCGTTCTTCACTTTAGGCAGCAAAATATTTTGGACCAGCTCTGTCTGTGCAACATACCCCGAGATCAAGCAAATACAAATGTCTACCTCATTGCTGACTTGAAGAACTGCTTTGCCTTATGCAGCATATTATTAAATGTTTTCTCATATTGCATTTTAGCTACCGTTTTCATTTAATTCTGACTTGTTTTAATTGTATTTAAGTTAAGGTGCTTTCTAATTGGTAGTCCCACATGGCAGGGTATAGATGTAGGTGTGTGTGTCATGTGTATCTTGTATTGTAGTATGCATCCTCATAATTAAGAAAGACAAGTGTTTCCAGACAGACTGTGGTCATACAGGTTTCTGTAATGGATGAAGCAAGAGCAGCAGGAGTGCTTTAAACATAATGAAATCACAATTATTGTTTGTTTGCAATTTAATGAAGGTATTAAGTTTAATAATAGTCTTTGCAGAGTTATTAATAGGATGTGTTGTTGAAGGCTTTCATAGCTGGCATTACTGGGTTGCTTTGAGTATTCTGGGCTGTATGGCCATGTTTCAGAAGCACTCTCTCCTGATGTTTTACCCACATGTATGACAAGGATTCCCATAGATTTTGTGAGGTCTGTTGGAAACTAAGCAAGTGAGGTTTATATATCTGTGGAATGTCCAGAGTGGAAGAAAGAACTCTTGTCTGCTTGAGGCAAGTGTGAATGTTGCAACTGGCCACCTTGATTAACATTTAATGGCCTTGTAGCTTCAAAGCCTGGCTGGTTGGTCCTTTGTTGGGAGGTGTTAGCTGGCTCTGGTTGGTTCTTGTCTGGAATTCCCCTGTTTTTGGAGTGGTGCCCTTTATTTAATGTCCTGATTTTAAGAGTTTGTAAATACTGGTAGCCACATTTTGTTCATTTTCATGGTTTCCTCCTTCCTGTTGAAATTGTCCACAGGCTTGTGGATTTCAATGGCCTCTCTGTGTAGTCTGACATGGTAGTTGTTAAAGTGATCCAGCATTGCTGTGTTCGTTCTCAAATAATATGCTGTGTCCAGGTTGGTTCATCAGGTGATCTGCTATGGCTGACTTCTCAGGTGGAATTAGTCTCCAGTGCCTTTCAGGTTCATTGATTTGTGTTTGGGCAATGCTGTGTTTGGTGGTCCCTATGTATATCTGTCAACAACTGTAAGGTATACGGTAGACTCCTACAGAGGTAAGAGGATCCTAATCAAGCTACAAGGCCATTAAATGCTAACCAAGGGGGTCAATTGCAACATACACGCTTGCCTCAAGCAGACAAGAGTTCTTTTTCCCATCCTGGAGATTCCAGATATATAAACCTCACTTGCCTAGATGTGGGTGAAACATCAGGTGAGAATGCTTCTGGAACATGGCCATACAGCCCGGAAAACTCACAGCAACCCTATTCATAGGATGTTGACCAGACCATCTGAAGCAGTGGTTCTCAACCTGGGGTCCCCAGGTGTTTTTGGCTTTCAACTCCCAGAAATCCCAACAGCTGGTAAACTGGCTGGGATTTTTGGGAGCTGTAGGCCAAAAATATCTGGGGACCCCAGGTTGAGAACAACTGATAGGGATGGCCTTCTCCAGCATAAGCCATTCTGGTTTTTAAGATCTCTTAATGAAGCTATTGGTCATTCCACCATCAAAGTCATATTGAATGGAAACACAAATGAGGGTTTTCTTGGTAGCTGGTCACTGATCCAGAAATACCCTGTTAGAAGAGACTATGTTCCCTTCTCTACTGTCCTTCCAGGCAGCCAAAAACATTTCATTAAAGTAGGCCTGGAACTTGGTCTGTAATTGAAACAGCACCTATCAGTTGGAGGCTGGCTATATCTTTTTTATTGGTTTATTTTTAAATGTGATTTTATTTATTAATCTTTTTTTGAAGGAAGGCAGGGTATAAATCTGAAAATGCCCAAACATCTGATACATAGATATAACAAATCTGTGGAGTGGGACTCTGGCAAATGCACACTCTATCAGGAAGACCAATGTTTAAGGCCTAAAACCATCAACCCAGCACAAAATATCCTCCTTAGCAAATAGACAATCTGACATAAGGTCAGACACTACAAAGGTTAAAAAGAAAGCTCGGCCTGCTCTCAAGGAAATGGGAAGATCTCTCAAGGCAACTTCTCTCGAGGAAATGGGAAGATGACAATATAAATATGAACTGCTTCTTAGAAACAGTTTGTTACACAACTATCTCCTTTACAGATCATAAATGCATTAAGAACTCTCTTTTTTATCTGAGTTCATTAAACATGACTGTTGACTAAGGATCTTGTGAACAGATGTGCTGGACTGCCTTGTCCGAATGAATCTCCCCTTATGAATCTGCAAGGACTTTAAGATCATCTGGAGAGGCCCTGCACAACAAGTACGGTTGGCGGGAACGAGAGACAAGGCCTTCTCAGTGGTGGCCGCTCGGCTATGAAACACCCTTCTTAGGGAGATTAGATAGGCTTCCTCGCTCCTATTATTCCGGAAGAATCTTAAGACTTGGCTATTTGAGCGAGCATTTGAAAATACGGAGTAAAGGATATAATAATGGCGGAACTGGACATTGTTTTAATGATTATTGATTGAAGTATGTTTCATTATAATGTTTGATTTTATTGTTGCCTATGTTTTTTATATTGTATATCGCAATTGTGTCCTTGGTGGCACTGAATTTTTGCCTTGTAAACCGCCTCGAGTCGCCGGAAGGCTGAGAGGGACAGTATAGAAATGTACTAAATATTGCCTGTACTATGGGCATCTAAAGTCACAAAAGTCAACAACAAATCTGCATGTGAATTAGACGTGCCATTCTAGCCTGTTGCAAGAAAACAACAACAAAAGAGACTTGTGGAGTACAAAATTGTGTCTCACTTCATCCCTACAACCAGGCACACAATTCTCGTAATCAGAAGAGGAACTAAAAATGTTTAGTGTGAGGCAAGCTTTAATTTGTTTTTTTTCAAAAAGAGAGCATATGAGAATGAAGTTTTATCTAGCATAAGCTTTCCTAAATGCCTGCTGCATGTCCCAAACCCTTAGAACAAATACTACACAAAGGTGAGGCTTTAAAATGCCACAACTTTTTTCCTGTTATATGTGTGTGTGTTTATTGCAATATGCAATAGCCTAGTCGTTCAAATATATACTGCATGTATGTACACAAAACAGTGTCCCCCACAAAAAAGTATACACCCTTTAACAGCTAACAGTCCCTATGGAAATTACTGGAAGAGCAAGGAAATACATTTAGACTGAATAATAAATGTTTTAATACTTATTTAATTAGAGCTACAAATATCATCTCAAAGCACAGTTTTGCACCAAGGGTTCAAAGTGTCATCTCTGAGCTTATCTTGTAATTTCACAACACTTCTCTACTATTTCCTATACGTACAGAATATGATACTATGGCATTAAAACCAATACTATGAATTAAAACCAAAAATAAAATAGTTACCCTTTGTGACTTTTGGCCCACCCTTCTCATACACACACACACCACAGCGCTATCTCTTCACAGCATTGAAGTGCCAACATTGTGTATGTATACATATATAACCCCGGTGGCACAGTGGGTTAAAGCGCTGAGCTGCCGAACTTACTGACTGAAAGGCCTCAGGTTCAAATCCGGAGAGAGGGGTGAGCTCCTACTGTTAGCCCCAGCTTCTGCCAACCTAGCAGTTCAAAAACATGCAAATGTGAGTAGATCAATTGGTACCGCTCTAGTGGGAATGTAATGGTGCTCCATGCAGTCATGCCGGCCACATGACCTTGGAGGTGTCTACGGACAAAGCCAGCTCTTCAGCTTAGAAATGGAGATGAATCCCACTCCCCAGAGTCGGACACGAATGGACTTAATGTCAGGGGAAAACCTTTACCTTTTATATAAAGGCAGTCCTCAAGTTAGACAAGATAGGTTCTGTAGGTTGGTTCTTAAGCTGTAGGTTTGTTCTTAAGCCAGCCATAGATAGAGATAGATATTTAAGCTTTTGATAGCATGGTAAAAGTAAAGGTTTCTCCTGACATTAAGTCTAGTCATGTCCGACTCTGGGGAGTCGTGCTCATCTCCATTTCTAAGTTGAAGAGCTGGCGTTGTCCGTAGACACCTCCAAGGTCATGTGGCCAGCATGACTGCAAGGAGTGCTTTTACCTTCCCGCAGAAGCGGTACCTATTGCTCACCCCGCTCCCCAGATTTGGACCGCCAAACTTTCAGTCAGCAAGTTCAGCAGTTCAGTGGTTTAACTCGCTGCGCCACCAGGAGGAGAGCATAGGAAAGGGTCAACACCCTGTGGCTGTCGTGTTTCTTTTGCAGTCTGTGCCCCTGTTCAGAAGAATTCACCTCACTTTCTGTCCCTGTGAGAACTGGATTTTGAAAAATCTGACTTGTAAAAACAAGGATAAAGCTTCAATGGAGACCCCTTTTCTCCATCACAACTCTTTCAGGACTGAATTTCCCTGCTGAGGGGTAGATTTCTCTCACTTCCTGTAGTCTCACCCCTGTTTGTAACTTGGAGATATGTGTGAGTCAGATGTCTGTAACTTGGGGAGTTAGCTTTTTGGTTTAAAAATGGTGTGCAGAATCTATCTATCTATCTCTATATATACACATACACATACACACATACGGATATATGTGTGTTTGGATATGTGTGTGTGTATATTAATATACTGTAATATAGATGTATCTACATACACATGCACACACAGCTATACATACATACAATGCAAGTGATGCATGCTCTCTCTCTCTCTATATATATATATATAAAAACATCAGAGAAATGTGCACCTTTAGACAAACATATTAAAAAACTAAACATAAACCTCACATGCCAGTTGCAAGCCAGGAGGCTGAATGTTTGGCTATTTGAAAACATGGGCCCAGTCCCTGTTTGGCTCCTTCCTTCCTTTCTCTTTCTTCCTTCCCTCCCTCCTTCCTTCCTTTTCCCTCCTTCTCTTTCCCATCCTTCCTTTCCTACTACCTTTTCCTTCCTTCCTCCCTTTTCCTGCCTTCTTTCCTTTTCCTTCCGTCCTTTCCCTCCCTCTCTTCCCCTTCCTTCCTCCCTTTTCCTTCATTCCTTCCTTTTACTGCCTTCCTTCCTCTTCCTTTCCCTCCCTCGCTTCCTCTTCTTTTCCTTCCTTCCCTACTATTCCTTCCCCCCTTTTCCTTCCTTTCCTCCCTCCCTTTTCCTTTATTCCTTCCTTCCTCTTCCTTTCTTCCCCTTCCTTCCCTCCTTTCCCTTCTTCCCTTTTCCTTCATGCCTTCCTTCCTCTTCCTTCCCTCCTTTTCCTTCACTACTTCCTTCCTCTTCCTTCCCTCCTTTTCCTTCCTTTCCTTCCTCCCTTTTCCTTCATTCCATCCTTTCCCTTCTTTCCTTTCCTCCCTCCTTCCTCCCTCGCTTCCTTTTCCTTCCTTCCCTTTCGCTTCCCTCCCTTTTCCTCCCTTTCCTTCCTCCCTTTTCCTCCTTTCCTTTCCTTTCTTTCCTTCCTTTCCCTTCCTTCTCTCCCTTTCTCTTCCTTCCTTCCTTTCCCTTCCTTCTTTCCCCTCCCTTTCCCTCCCTCCCTTCCTTCCTTCCTTCCTTCCTTCCTTCCTTCCTTTTCCTTCCCTCCCTCGTTTCCTCTTCCTTCCTTCCCTCCCTCCTTTTCCTTCCTTTACCTCCCTTCCCCTTCCCTCCTTTTCCTTCCTTCTTTCCTTCCTTCCTTCCCCGCTCACCTGCCAAGACGAAGCTCCTGCTCGGCTCCCACGCCTTCGCTTCCTTCCTCCAGCCCGAGGCCAGAAAGGCTTCCCGGTGGAGGGAGGAGCAGAGGGAGGGAGAGCTGAAGCGCCGCCCCTCCTCCGCCGCCAGGGAAAGGGCCTCCAAAGTGGGACGCCGCTTCTACCTGAATTCACCTCCAACAGGGCCACGCGTCCACTGGGGAGAAGGCGAGTGGCGATTGCTCCGCTGGGATGTCACTCAACGAGGAAGAGCCCGCCTCCTCCTCCCCCTCCTTCTTGGCTCGCGGGGCTTTTCTGTTCCGCGTCGTGACGCCGGAGGGCAGCTGTCTGGCCTGGTTCCCCGTGCGCATGCTCAGTCTCTTCCCCTGGACATTGAGGAAAAATTCTGTCTGGAGTTTTGCAAATGTTTGCATGCTCAGCAACACAAGCTTATTGACCCCACTTGGGGGAGGGGGGGGGGGAGAGTCTGGGAGTTGTAGTAAAATTTAAATAGTGAGAGAAACTTTCCTGCACAATGCACACAGTGAACCAGGGACTTCATATCACTTCATATACTAAATTAACACAATAATGATAGGGTAAAAGCACCTGCCATAATTGCTTTCCTGCACAGTGATCTGGCTATGCAGTAGCTGTACTGTCCTTGAATTAGAATTGTCTCTTTTTATTGATGAGGAAAGCCTGTCAATCCAATATTGCTGTTGTTCTGCCACTTTTCCTTTTGCAATAATTTCCTTCTGCTGTGGTCTGGGTATTACAGTACCGATAAAGTTCTGGCAGGAATGGAGAAGCTGCAAGTGCCCAGTTGAGCAAAATAGGGAAATTAAGGGACAAAATGGGGAGGGACTAAATATGTGCTCCAAAGGGCAAGCACAGGTAGGAAGCCATGCTGTGTGGAAGACTGATTGTGGGAATTCACATCAGGAAAGTGCCAACATTATGAAATTGTACTGTCGAAGACTTTTATGGCCGGAATCACTGCGTTGTTGTAGGTTTTTTCGGGCTATATGGCCATGTTCTAGAGGCATTCTCTCCTGATGTTTCGCCTGCATCTGTGGCAAGCATCCTCAGAGGTGACAACAACAATGCATTATGCAATTGCACTGAGGAGTGAAAGAGATTGGCGACGATATGATTCTATATGCTTAAGCAACATGATTGTGATGAGGAAATAGATTTTTGTGATAACAAATCTTTCTGCAGAGCTTTGAACAAGAGGAGGAATACCTCTCCTTTAGCATAACTCCCATCTGATAGGCATTCAGGGGTGCACTAATTTTATTTATTTACACATTTCAAATCTGATTCTGATAGCTGTGTCAAGAAGGCTCTGCCAAATAGTAAAGGTAAAGGTTTTCCCCTGATATTAAGTCCAGTCGTATCAGACTCGGGGGGTTGGTGCTCATCTCCATTTCTAAGTCAAAGAGCCGATGTTGTCCATAGATACCTCCAAGGTCATGTGGCCAGCATGACTGCATGGAACGCAGTTACCTTCCTGCCGATTGATCTACTCACATTTACACTGTATTGTCAAAGGCTTTCATGGCCAGAATCACTGTGTTGTTGTAGGTTTTTCGGGTTGTAAGGCCACATTCTTGAAGCATTCTCTCCTGACATTTACCTACATCTGTGGCAGGCATCCTTAGAAAGTGTGGTCTGTTGGAAACTAGGAAAATTGGGTCGGTCTATCTATCTATCTATCTAGCTATCTGTCTGTGGAAGGTCCAGGGTGAGAGAAAGAACTCCTGTCTGTTGGGGCTAGGTGTGAATGTTTCAATTGGCCACCTTGATTGGCATTTGATGGCCTGACAGTTTTTAGGTGTGGCTTGTTGCTGCCTGGGAGAATCCCTTGTTGAGAGGTGATTAGGTGTTCCTGATTATTTTTTGTCTGGAATTCCCCTTTGTTTGACTTTTGTTCTTTATTTACTGTTATAATTTTAGAGTTTTTTAATACCAGTAGGCAGATTTTGTTCATTTTCATGGTTTCTTCCTTTTATTTGCATGTTTTCAAGCTGCTAGGTTGGCAGAAGCTGGGGCTAATGACTGGAGCTCATCCCTTCCCGCAGATTAGAACCACCAACCTTCTGGTTGACAAGTACAGCAATTCAGCTATTTAACCCGCTGCACCACCGCGGCCCCTATGCTCTGTCAAATATCAAATGAATATTTAATATGGATTTAAGTATTCTTTTACATCTCTATAACTGCAGCCCATTGTTTTGTTAATGGAGTATGATGGTTAGTGGCTTTCATATTAGGGCCATGGTTTATAGTGTGACTATTGAAAGAACTATCAAAGGTGCTGAACCTACATGATTCAACACCTTGGATTGCTCCTTCAAAGTTGAGACTAACACTTGGATTAGTTTCTTTGCTCCATTGACACCGAAGCTACCACTTTTTAGTGCTTCATGGGAGCCTGAATAACATTAGCTGTGAAAACCATTTGTGTATTTTGGAAGAGTTGGAAGATTTATTACATAATCCTCTACGTGTTTAGTCAGAACAGTTCATTGAGTCATGAACTCATTGAGTTCATTTGTGCTGATTCTCAGACAAGTGGGCAAGCATTGGGCTGCAGCCTGTGCTTATTTTTAAGTGCTTTTGTAATCTTCACAATCTTCAGAGGACACATTGGTTCAAGACATTTTGGCTGACTATGTATGTACAAACCAACTGCTTATCTCTGTTAAAAGGAGACGTTATCCAATTCAGCACTTTGGCTCCCTTTACATAAGCCAATATCATGTCTTTAAAATTTTTGTACTTCTTGTTCTATTAGCATTTGTGCAAATCTCTAACTCAGTGTTTCTCAACCTTTCTCATGCCGTGACTCCTTAATACAGGTCCTCATGTTGTGGTGACCCCCAACCATAACATTATTTTCGTTGCTACTTCATAACTGTCATTTTGCTACTGTTATGAATTGTAATGTAAATATCCGATATGCAGGATGTATTTTCATTCACTGGATCAAGTTTGGCACAAATACCTGATACGCCCAAATTTGAATACTAGTGGGGTTGTAATTTGGGAGTTGTAAGGTAAAAGTAAAGGTTTTCCCCTGTCATTAAGTCTAGTCGTGTCTGACTCTGGGGGTTGGTGCTTATCTCCTTTCTAAGCTGAAGAGTCGGCGTTGTCACTAGACACCTCCAAAGTCATGTGGCCAGCATGACTGCATGGAGCGCCCTTATCTTCCCGCCAGAGCGATACCTATAGATCTACTCACATTTGCATGTTTTCGAACTGCTAGGTTGGCAGAAGCAGGGGCTAACAGCAGGAGCTCACACTGCTCCTCGGATTCGAACCTGCAACCTTTTGGTCAACAAGTTCAGCAGCTCAGCAGTTTAACCCACTGTGCCACCTACAATCAAAGAGCATTCTGAGCTCTACCAACGATGGAAATGAACCAAACTTGGCACACAGAACTCCTATGACCAAACATAAATACTAGAATGCTTTGGTGAACATTGACCTTGAGTTTTGGAGTTGTAGTTCACCTACATCCAGAGAGCACTGTGGACTCAAACAATGATGGATCTAGACCAAACTTGGCACAAATACTCAATATGCCCGAATGTGAACACTGGTGGAGTTTGGGGAAGATAGACCTTGAGATTTGGGAGTTGTAGTTACTGGGATTTATAGTTCACCTTCAATCAAAGAGCATTCTAAACCCCACCAATTATAGAATTGGTCCAAACTTCCTACACAGAACCCCCATGACCAACAGAAAATGTGTTTTCTGATGGTCTTTGGCGACCTCTCTGGCAACCCCTCGCGACTCCACCAAGGGTCCCGACCCCCAGGTTGAGAAACGCTGCTCTAACTGAACAACACTGTCTCCTTATACTCATCAGCTTTTTCCTTAGCTTAATGTTAAATGCAGGATATGTACATAAAGCGAAGTGCACACATTCAATTGTAACAAATCTTCTCACTAGTTTACTTTTTTCCGAATCTGTATGAATGTTTTCTCAGGAAGGAAAACTTATATTTGGGTTTCTCAAAAGATATGCTAAAATGTAATGATTTAATAGGATGGCATATCAAGATAAGGGGAAAGGGGAAACTAATATGTCTATTTAGAAACAGCACCTACATATCATCCTAGCCTAGAGCCATTCTTGATATGTAGATGCCGTTTCGAAATAGACAAATTACTTTCCCCTTTCTGCCTTTTTTTCTAGAGTCACTCTAGCCTGCTTTTCTTTAATTTGCAAGCATATTTTTCTCCATTATAAGCACTTTAGTTCACATGTCTGTTTTCCAGTCACATTTTCCATTTTTCTGACATGTCAGCATCCTGTGATATAGAAGATTATCATGCAAAATGACAAATAATTTTTGGTCTGAACTTTTGACTCTTTTATCTTACATGACCTGTTCTCAGTTGGACGTGTTAGTATAGGAAAACTGTACAGAAATGTTATGCACTCTACCAGGCCTTTACTGACTCTGTTTTGACATATATGGAATTCTGGGGATTGTAGTTTGGTGAGCTCTCTGCCAGAGGATTCTAAATATCCCTCTCTGTATTGCAAGTTTCAATATTTTCTAGAATCATAGCAGTTAACGTAAAATCATAGTGCTATAATTGTGTTGTGTAAATATGCCTTTCACCCACATTTACAGATATGCAACAGCATTGCATGGCCAAGTCTACTTTGCATATCTTTGAATTGAAATTAGACTTTTCACATCAGACAGAAATGTCCAATGACTTTCATAGAGAAATGTGTACAAGTATAAGATAGCAACAGTATTGGGCCTAAATATGGTACATTAGAAAGCACCAGACCCTGTTTGCTCTTGGAAGCTAAGCAGGGTCAGCCCTCTTATTAGCTGGTTGTGAGACTACCAGGTAATCCTAGGTGTTGTATATATTTCAGAGGAAGGAACTGGCAAAACGAGCTCTGACTATTCTTTGCCTAAGAAAATCCTATGCACTTCATGGGCCGTCATAAGTCAAGAGGCAAATTAAAAGCATACACAAGATCCCTACAGGGGATCTTATTTACACTTTGTTAGAGGAAACAGAATTGCAGTCACAATCCACATTTGCAGGTTTCAATTTTGTGAATATTATTCACAGATTTTAAGTTCTCTCTAGAAATCTCTGGATTTTTCAGTTAAACACGTATGATCAACTTCTGCCACACAGTCGCACTGCAAGATCTAGGAGAATCCATCAAACAACACTTCTGTAGGAATTTGTAGGTCCT